CCTCCCCTATCCTCTTCCCCTTCCTCTTCTCCTTCCTCTTCCCCTTCTTCTTCTCCTTCCTCTCCTCCCCCTCCTCCTTCTCCTCCCCCTCCTCCTCCTCTTCTTTTCTTCTTCTTCTTCTTCTTCTTCTTCTTCTTCTTCTTCTTCTTCTTCTTCTTCTTCTTCTTCTTCTTCTTCTTCTTTTCTTCCTCCTCCTCCTCCTCCTCCTCCTCCTCCTCCTCCTCCTCCTCCTCCTCCTCCTCCTCCTCCTCCTCCTCCTCCTCCTCCTCCTCCTCCTCCTCCTCCTCCTCCTCCTCCTCCTCCTCTTCCTCCTCCTCCTCCTCCTCCCTTCTTCTTCTGCCGCCGCCGCCGCCAGTCCTGGACCTTGAACTCAGGGCCTGGGCATTGTTTCTGAATTTTTTTGCTCAAGGCTAGTATTCAAACACTTGAGACATATATGACATGTTCTTTTCTCTGGAAATAAGTCAAACTGCTAGCACATTTGAAAAAAACTGCTTATTTGTCATTGCCAAAATCTGTGACATGCAGCGTGGTTGTTAATGAGGTCCCTTTCTTTTTTCCATCTACTCGAATGTTAACTTCACCAAATCCCTATTTAGAATTCTTCTCATTTTTATTTGTTTTCCCATGCACAATATCATTTGATCCTTGCACAGGAAACCTGGAGATATACTTTACAACTGTTATTGCTATGTCACAGGAGAGGAAACTGAATCTCAGAGAAATTAAAGTGCTGTGCCTCAGATCACAGTTCTGAGTATTAAAGGTAATTGTAAATCTGTTTTCTGGCTCCAGAACTCATAATCCTGCCTTTGTTTTGATGCTTTCAACTACATATTATAACCCACTGGACAATTTGTCTCTTAATGCACTTTTAGTAATCAATTACAGCAATGTAGTTTTTTTTTTTTTTTTTTTTTTTTGGTTTTAATTTTTTTTTTTTAATTTTATTTTATTTTATTTGAGAACATACTGTACAGAGGGGTTACAATTACATGGGCAGGATAATGCATACATTTCTTACCAAGCATTGCAGCCTCCTCCTTTGTTTACCCTTCACCTCCCTTCCCAGCCTCCCCCCTCCCTCCCAACCAATCATACCCCCCCTCCCCCCCCCCCCACCGACATTGTAAAGCTGGTTTTGACATGACATTTTGTACTTCGCATTGTTGCAACAGGTCCACCTGAATCCTTAAACGACTTGTTTGTCCCCATCTCCTCCACATGTTATACTGACATCAAATATAGTGAAAGCGGGGGTTACACTGTGGGGGAGGGACATACAAAGCAACAAAGAAATAATCTTATAAATGCGTTAGAAACACATGCATGAAGGAAACAAAAACATTAAAATACATATTTGAGGTTTTGTTTTCCTAACATCACATTATCTGACTTTTTCCGCTTGACTCATACCTATACTAGATATTGCAAATAAGGGAAACCATGGGACCTATGTTTCTTTGGGCCTGGCTTACTTCACTTAATATAATTTTTTCCAAGCCTTTCCATTTCCTAACAAATGGGGAAATGTCATTCTTTCTGATGGAGGCATAGAATTCCATTGTGTATATATACCACATCTTCTTGATCCATTCATCTACTGAGGGGCATCTGGGTTGGTTCCATGTCTTAGCTATGGTAAATAATGCTGCAATAAACATAGTTGTGCTGGTAGCTTTAGTGTGGCCTTGTTTGTGATCATTTGGGTAAATGCCCAAAAGTGGGATTGCTGGGTCGTTGGGGAGCTCTATGTGGAGTCTTTTGAGGAACCTCCATACTGCTTTCCAAAGTGGTTGAACAAGTTTACATTCCCACCAACAATGAAGTAAGGTTCCTTTCTGTCCACATCCCCTCCAGCATCTGTTGTTGTTAGAGTTCTTGATTTTTGCTGTTCTAACTGGAGTGAGGTGATATCTCAATGTTGTTTTGATTTGCATTTCTTTTATGGCTAGGGATGTTGAACATTTCTTCATGTGTCTATTGGCCATCCTTCTTTCTTCTTCAGAGAAGCTTCTCTTTAAGTCTTTCGCCCACTTACTTATTGGGCAGTTGTTTCTTTGAGGATTTGTTGTTGGGTGGTTTAATTTTTTGAGTTCCAAGTATATTTTAGATATGAGACCCTTGTCCGTTGTATGGCTAGTAAAGCAATGTAGTTTTTAGAGCTCTAAAATGGAAGAAATAAACTGTAAAAGTCAAGAGGTTAATATAAGCTGGTATGGCATCACAAAACACTAGTATGAAAGTTACCTTAGCTTTTTTACTGTTTTTTAAATACTTTCTCTATAACTTTCCAAGATATTAAAGTGTAACATATGAGACCGTGAATAAATTTTAAGCAGAATATCTTGCATTCTTTAACATCACTTAAATTTTATTAGGCAGATTTTATTTCTGGTGAAATCTGTTCAGTTCCACATCACACTTAGGAAAGGCACAATGTTTTTCTAGAATGGTTTTCTAGAATCTCCAAGGGAGACAGAGGTGTTGGGGAAGTGATGCCTGAGGAAACATTTTGAATTAGATACTTCAATCTCTGTCCTGACTTGCCTTTTTTCAAAATCACTTAATAGAACATTTTTTATTTGTAAAATGATAAAATATATTGGCTCTTATGATACGTGAATACCTTGTTACATTTATTTAAATTAAATCAAATATCATATTTTCTATTAATCATTTGCATCATCTTTAAATAGTTGTACAAAGAGGTTTCCTTCCAGCATGTCAACTGATGTCCAATGTTGTTTATACACGAGGTTTACATACTTATTGGATCTAAGTCACTGGCATGCATGTTTTGTCTCTGAAAATAATAAGACCTCATGGCCTGAAATGATACTAGACTGGCTAATTGTCCTACCTATAAAATGCTTAATACACATAATAGAATTATCCCAGGGACTTGTTTCTTGCATCTGCAGGGCTAACCTATGCGTGGGGGAGAACAGGCAGCTGTGATTGGAACGATGAAGCAGGGTGTCTTAAAATACTTTCCTTCTAACTTGCCTTCGGAATAAGACAGTCTCTTCAGTTTTTCTATGAAAAGCAATATATTCTCAGATAACATACCTAAATCACTTGTTATTATAAAGCTATTCATTCTCATCAATTGTTTAGGATCTAACAGGGCCGGTGGAGGGAGATAGAGACATTTCCAGTTTGAATACATTCTGAAATTGTGTGTGTGTGTGTGTGTGTGTGTGTGTGTGTGTCTGTCTGTCTGTCTGTCTGTCTGTCTGTCTGTGTAGGGTAGAGTGGGCTGGCAGAAATGCCTTCAGCCTGAAGGTGAGTTGAAGGTGGAAGGTGTCTGTGGGAAGAAGTTGTAGGAGACTACCTGAAACTTTCACCTGAGATTCCTGGCTATCAATGTTGGTCCAAGGCTGGTCCCTGAGGACAAATGAGAAAATGAAATGGTAGCATGGTCTTCTCATGTCTACATCAAATCAAATTTTGCATGTCAGTTCTTGAAAGCACTTTGTTCTACATGACCCAGAAAGACCCCGGGTGACTGTGCAGGCGTCATGAATACTGAAGCAGAGACTTTGCTTTTCCTGAGTTATATAAGCCATATGGTTAGATATACACTTGTTCATTGGCTAAAGAAATATTGAAAATGAAAATTAATTACCATTGCCAAGTGTGGGATATATACAAAAACGTTTCACTGTGATTCCATGTAAAAAGGAAGTTATCTTTTTTTTTCTGATAATTATCCCTGACATTTTGCCACTGGCCCACTTTATTTTTACAAATCAAGTCAAAATGCTACATTATTTAATCAGATTTCATTGCATTCTAAATGGATGGGGGTAAAAGGAGCAATAATAAAGACATTTGACAGACTTCATTTTCAAGTTTTCTTTCATTTAAAATCTATTTATAAACATCACCCTTGTTATTTAGTTTACATTGGTCAACGTATGCTATTTTAGTGGCATATCAAATAAAGTTATTTTATCAACAGCGGATTTCTCCACCTCTAGCCAAAAGATACAGGTGATTATTGCATATTTAATGACATATGCTGGGAAACATTCAGGGAGTAGTGTGTGTGTGTGTGTGTGTGTGCGTGCCTGTGTGTGTGTGCATGCATGTGCTAGTATTAGGGCTTAAACTCAGGACCTTGTGTTCTTGCTTGGCTTTTTCACTCAAAGATAGCACTCTACCATTTGAGCCACAGACCCACTTCTACATTTTTGCTGGTATTTGTAGACAGTTGTAGATAATTTGTAGATAATTGTAGATAAAAGTCTTATGGACTTTGGCTGGGCTGTATTTGAACCATGATCATCAGATCTTAGCCTCCTGTGTAGCTAGAATTATAGGCATAAGCTGTTGACACCCAGTTAGAATAAATTCTTTGAGCCTGAGTTCAGTGTTCACTTAGCTTTGGATTTCTCAGTGCAATTATTAGAATTATATTAGATTTCTCTTTTTTCATAAAATATTTATTTTTTATTAAAAAACATTTGGACTTTTCATAAATTAGTCATAGCAAACAATAAAGGAATATGTTGTAGACTAAGATAAAAATCCTCAATAAAAATAATTTGTAAATTGGCTCTTTAATCATATTATGCTGGGTACCTCATATTAAAGAGTTGACTTACAAATGTTAATTGAACAGATCTTGTTAGTTTCCCTAAAAACAAGGATTTTATTCTCTTTTTACAGTCTGTGATTGTTATGGCTTAAATATATTTTGGAAATTTCTTCCAACAGATAAACGGAAAATGTCTGATATTTTGCAATTACTTAAAGCATTTATGATTTCAAGTTCTCAGCAGAAGCTTGCTGATGAAGAGAGTTAGTCAGAAAGACAGTTATGTAACAACTGTCACATTGGTTATTGGCTGGAAAGCGTGAAGCCCTATATTTTAGACTCAAGGCTTTAACAGAATCTTTATAAAGCATTTTTCTCCTCTCAGAGTGAAACAAATGTCTGATGAGTAAAATCTTGAGGCTACTCACAACTTTTCTCTTTCATTCTTTTATAGCCCAGAAGATGGTGAAATTCATCCAGAAATCTGTCGACTTTACATCCAGCTGCAGTGCTGCTTAGAAATGTATACAACAGAGATGCTAAAATCTATTTGTCTGCTGGGATCTCTTCAGTTTCATCGAAAAGGTATCTACAATTGATAGATTACCAGAAAAATACCAAGCAATGATATGCAAAACAATACCTGCCCATCTATACACTAGTAGAATGAATTTAACATGCTCAGGAAATATTTGATCTCTAAGTTAAAATTTAAAAGTCCATATTACTTCTAAGTACATAAGAACACTAATTGTTTTGATTCAAAAATGTAGTAAGAGTCGTAAATTTATTATTTTACCACTTGAGAATATGACTTACTTCCATTAGAATCAGCAGAAGCAGCAAAAATATCTAATGATAACACTAGCGTATATCTAGCGTATAACACTAGTGTATATCTGTCCTCAAGAGTGCTGCAATTTCTCTTGATAAATTGAGTTGTAAAAAGACAAACAAATATTTGTGTCTCAAAGATTTTAAAATAGGGTGAACTCAACAGATGATAGAGATGCAGCATATAAGGAATAGAATAGCTCATTTTCTGGCCTAGCTTAACCTACGCTGGGAAAGCCAAGATGTTGGCATAAACCTGTAATGCCAGCACTTGTGATTAAAAGAGGGAGATCATAAATTCAAGGCCAGTTTGTGCAATATAACAAGATCCTGTCTCAAAAGAAAAAAGGCACAAAAAAAACTATAAATGGAATATATGGACTCAAATATCTACACCTTTCAACACTGGCTGTGTCTTTGCATGCTATAGTCAGATTTCAGGCTTCCAGTCTGGGTAATGCTCTTCTCGATATTGACTTTACAGTCCAGCTGGCATCCTCCACATTAACAAACCAATTACTGTGGCTCTAGTCATCACATATATAATGAGAGAAAACTTCTTACAACTATAGAATAAAAGTCCTGGGCTTCATTCTGGCTGGACTATATATAGACCAGAATTGTTTTAGACAATTAAGGCCCACACATAGAGCTGGAAATGAAGTGAACCCCACCCAAGCAGTGCTATTGCAAGATGGGTAGAGGGGGAAAGAGGCTGGAGAGGAACTCAAAAGTTTCCACTGCTGAAGGACTTGATTTTTATTTTCTTTACTAACTCACCAAATGACAGTTTATTGGCAATCTCCTGAATACAAACTTTTGCTCCTGAGCTCAGGAAATTGGGGGAGGAATGCATAGAAAGTAATGCTTACCTGTGATTTAAATTAAGCAATTGGAGAGTTAAGCGATAAATCAGTAAAGAAGCAGATAAAGATTTCAAACCAGGCTGGGAAGGTGGCTCAGTGATAGAGCGCTTGCCTTGTATGCATGAGGCCCTGGGTTCGATTCCTCAGCACCACATAAGCAAAAAGAAAAGAGCCGGAAGTGGCACTGTGGCTCAAGTGGTAGAGTGCTAGCCTTGAGCTAAAGAGCTGAGGGACAGCGCCCAGGCCCAGAGTTCAGGCCCCACGACCAGACCCCCCCCCCCCAAAAAAAAAAAAAAAAAGATTTCAAACCAAATGAGCATTCCAGATTGGGAAGAATTAATTCAACCTACTTGTAAAAATCAAATATTGTATACACACACATATATATATGTCTATATATGTATGTGCGTACGCATGCATGTGTGTGTATGTGTGTATGCGCATGTGTGTGTGTGTATTCAGTAGGACTAAAGACAGGATACAGTTACAATGCTTCAAAGACATGAAAACATTCTCTCAATACTTATTGTTGCCTTTTCTTTGAAAGACTAATCTTGCAAGAGTTTTTATCTTTATTTGTTATTAATATGAGAATGTGTTTGGAGGGATTAGCTCCTTGACACTCCTAATGCATGATCTGAAAGTTGAACACTCAGACACACTCAGAATATCCTGAGTAAAAGCTTGATGCCTTTACTCTTCTCTTTGATTCCTTTATCTCTGTCTCTGCCTCTGCCTCTCTTTGTCCTCAGTCTCTGACTCTGTCTCTGTCAGAGAGAGATAGAGAGAGAGAATGGCACCCAAACAGAATAGTATTATCATCCTAAATGATTTACAGAGAAAACTGGGCACAGGCAGTTTTACTCTCCAGTTCTGTATGGTCTACACCTGCAGCATCTCTGCCTTTGCTGCCACTGGAATCTTCCTGGCTAATGACATGTATTTAACACACAGGGACCTCCACTCCCACACCCTTTCTAAGTCCTTGGTCTGCAACCTGATCTTCTTTTATCAGCCACCATGACATTTGTTATTTCACAATTGACTTTGGAAAGGAAAGTTCTTCTCAGCTTACTCTCTGCTTAAAAGTAAAAGGTGATACCTCACAAGATTGCTTCCTTGGATTTGGTTTGGAGTACAAATGTAAAAGTATGTCACCTCTTAAACTGCTCAGCTCCTTTGTCATCATTGTTATTCTGACTGACAAATCTCAGTGCTGTCACTAGATTTTGTTCTTTTACAATGTTGAAATACATAGAATAGCCTGTTTCCAGAAGCCTCCAGCCAATACATGTTAAATATATAAAATACACTGCAGACTTCCTGAGAGACCCCATCTAAAAAGAAAACAAATGTTTGGCTTCAGTGACCATAGGCTTCCAAAATAATGAATTGAAGAAGAAATTTGTCCACAGACTATACATAGCACGAGAATATTAAACTCCAAGAAAAAGTTGAGCAAATTAAGAGACAATGTCTGTGTTGTCCTTAAAGTTGAAAACTCCACATAAAACTTGACAGAGGGGAACCAAACAGCAAGGAAAAAAACAAAAGCAAACCTTTCTACAGAAAGGGAGAACAGGCAAATGTTCTTTCTGTTTATGAAAACAAGAAGTGGGGAAGGATGGGAAGATTGCTCTGCAAATAGGATTTACCAAGCTTTGATTCAAGGTATGTGAGTAAGGAAAAAACTGTAAACCACCCCCACACACAGGTGTGTGTGTGTGTGTGTGTGTGTGTGTGTGTGTGTGTGTATAGTATATGTATTCACTAAATAAAGTAACAGAGCATAGGTTGTGTTAGGAGTGTAGGTGACTCCAAATTTCAGGCAAGGTGGTAGAGGTGGCAAAGAAAACAAAGTGTGGATGGAGAAATCAGTCTCAGCAAGGCACCAGTGTCTCATCTTTGTAATCCTAGCTACTCGGGAGACTGAGATCAAAAGGATCATGATTCAAAGATAATATCTCTAAAATAACTCAAAAGCAGGACTGGAAGCGTGGCTAAGTAGCAGAGTACCAACAAAGCAAGCAAGCCAAGTAAGCAAGCAAACCCAGGAAGCAAGCTGAGCAAACCCAAGGCCCCAAGTTGAAATGTTGATACTACAAAAAAATAAATTAACCCATCTCCTTTCCCTAGAATAGAAATGTATGTATTGTTTTGTGTATCCTATATTAGCAAAAAAAAAAAAAAAACCAACACTTATACACTAGACAGTAGTGTATCTACCGAGACTCAAGCTGCCAGAGTAGTTTTCCAATGTAATAAGTTCTCTTTTTTTAACTTTTAACTGTTATTTTATTGACATACCAAACAGAAAATCTTAATACCAAGAAGAAATAATGCCAGGTTAAACAGAAATACACTGATAGTTAAGTGAATTCATTTAATAATAGTGGATGCTTTAAAGGAAGAATTTTGACACAATGAAAAAGTCCATTCCAACATAACATTAAAATATCCAGTGTAATATATTCTTTAACCAAACAATGGCATTTATGAAATGATTTCATGCTAAGAAGTAGCCTATCCAGACAACCTTTACTAAAGCCCTTCTCTGGAGGAATAAGTCCCCTAGAGTCTTAAGAAAATTGTGTCTCCTGTTTGATTTTGTAACATTCAAACTCTCTTTTTGCTTAAAATCTGTTTTGTTTCTTTTAATTTGAAAATAAGAGTTGATATTTTTTAAATAAGCCAATTGATTTTCCTTCTGTGTGAGTGGCTGAAGGTTGACCACTCCCCTCTTCTTTAACTTTTCTTTTCATCAAGGAAAGGAAAAATGGTAATGAAGTAATTAGAGCTGCCTCAGTCTAAGGGTCTCTTGTCGATTTTGTTGGTATTAAATCCTAAAACCAAGTTGTTTCACAGTAATCTGCACCTTCAGTTTAATTGTTATGCACATTTCCTTGTCACCAGAAGTGCAGGGACTCCTCTAGTACTCCTCTATGTCTTATTTAGTTTTGCTACTGTATTGAGTAGTCATGACATGAGTTTACTCTTTGAGAACAGGGCATATAAGGTCACTGTGGTGATCTATTATTTCTTTCTGGAAAAGTCAGCCTCAAATAATTTTAAAGCTTCTGTAGTGCTCTTGAGTTTAGAAATGCAAATTGTCTTTCTCTTCCAATTAGGACAATTGAAGTGTCCTTACTCCTTAAAACCTTTACTCCCTGGGCCTTCTTGTTTGTTCCATGCACCACACTTCTGATTTATTTTTTTTGCTGTCTAGTAAGTCTGGTACAATCTATTTGAATATCTTTTATACTGTACAAGATCATGCTATTGCCAAAGAAATGAAGAAAAACATCACCAAAATATTTCCTTCTACATGGCCAACAAAATTAAAGTTAAATTGCAGTGATGTGTGGTAAAAATCTACATTTAATAAAGGCTATTAGGTTATATCAGGTAGAGTGGCTTGAGAAACTGTGTTTGTATAAGAAAATGACAGATGGGAATGATTTTGGTCATTTTGTCATCTCATATTCTAACGCTGTAAGTTGTAGATTGGAGCACCGTTTGACAAAGTCTAATTTCTGTGTTTTTGGAGAAAAATGGTTGTTCTTGCTTCTTTGCATTTAGCTAGGTAAGAAATCATTTTGCATTACCAATTCCATGTATCACATTGACCATTAATGCCTGTTTCCTGCACTGAATAAAAAGAGATTATAAGTTTCATTCACTTTGTTGGCAGAAAATTGAGCTAGATTTCTGAAGGAACAAGACCCTGATTTTTTTTTTTTTTGGTTGGTCGGAGGGCTTGAACTCTGGGAATGGGCACTGTCCCTTGGCTTTTCAGCTCAAGGCAAGTGCTCTACCACTTGAGCCACAGCACCACTTCCGGTTTTCTGGTGATTTATTGGAGATGAGTCTCAGACTTTCCTGCCT